CCAGAGTTGAAGGAAAAGCCATTATTGAATTGTCACTGACACCTGGGTGAAGCCTGTGAGCGTTGGGGTTGAAGCTTAACGAGATCAAGGCGCAGGATGAGGCAGGCCTAAATTTCACAGTTGGCATGTGCTCCGAACGCTGGGTTATTGCAACTTGTTCATGGTGCAATCCATCTGGTGCGCTTTCTGGTTTTCAATGTATGGGTGACAGCATCTGTGGTGCCATGATGGGTCGCTGGATCGACTGCTCGAGCACACATCCCACCCGACCACCCGCAACCGTCTTGGCAACGCTCAACTTGCGCAGTGACGCTAGGATCCTTATAACTCAGATCCACGGCTCGGGCGGGCGAATGAGTATAGTGACGGCGATATCTGCGCCAACGACGAATGTGATGAAGGTGATGGTGATGGTGGCGGTGGTGATGATGAGGGCGACGGTAACGACGACGACGAGGACGGTGACGATGGTGATGATGATGACGATGATGATAATTATGACGATGATGACGATGATGATGACGGAAATGAGGATGATGGTGATGATGATGATGATCATGATGTTGAGCATGATGATGATGATGATGATGATGATGATGTTGAGGATGATGATTATGATGATGACAATGATGATGTTGATGCTGATTGTGATGACTCTGACGATGGTGATGATGGTGATGATGATTCTGGTGGTGGTGGTGATGATGATGATGATGATGATGGTGATGATGATGGCGACGCTGGCGGTGATGATGACGACGCCGGTAAATTTGATGGTGATGTGGATGATTGTGATGATTCGGGCGATAGCAGCGATGAAGGTGGCGATGCTGATGATGCTGGTGAAACATCTTGAGTTCTGATCGCGCAGAAAGCATATTGAAGTTAATGGTCGCTGTGTTGTGCAAGTGTTTGCTAGCGCCGACCGCAAACGGTAAATTACGTTTTGTATTGTGAATGTGTAGCGTATGTGGTGCAAGCTACGTGGTGTAAGCTGTGTGGTGCGGCCTCGGTGCAAGCTGCGTAGAGCAAAGTGTGGTGCAAGCTATCCGATGCGTAAGCCACTGAGTTGCAAGCCACGTGGTGCAAACCATGGGGTGCAGCCTGTGCGATGTGAAAGTTATCGTGGTGTAAACTGTGTGGTGAGTGCTACGTGGCGTGAGCTCAGTGGCGCAAACCATGTGGTGCAAGCTATGCGGTAGAATTGACTACCCTGCACCGCGCTTGACCACCTCCACTGCTCGCGCAAACATCCCACCCACCCACCCGCAACTTGGTTTGCAAAATCTCTTAAGACCGTGACGGTGGGTACCAAATGGCATTTGGCAACGACAGCGACGCCGACGACGACAGCGACAACGACGACGACGCCGCCGACAACGACTACGACGACACCGACGACGTCTCCAACGACTTCGACGACGCCGACAACGACGACGACGACACCGACGACGACGACGACGCCGACCTACGGGGTGCACGCTGTGCGGCCGCCCAGCGCACGAGGCGCCCACGAGGCGCCCACGGGCGGGCACCTGGCGAACCCTCCGCCGACCCGCCCTGCGCCCGCGAGGTGCCGCGAGGCGCCCACGCGCGGGCATCTGGCGGCACCTCGGCCGACCCACAGTGCGCGAGGGCGCACACGGGCCACCGGGCGGGAAGCCGTGGTCTTGGAGCGAGAGGGTCGAGCGTAGAGGGTAGAGAGCATCAGAGGAGGAAGAGCTGCCCATGCCTCTACCTTTCCCTCGTCTTCCCCCAGCTCGAGAAGCTCCGCCGCGCTGCCAAGGCCGGCCATGGGCCCGGGCCCCGCGCGGCGGCTGAGATCATGTTCGGCGTCCCCAGCCCCACCTGGCGTCTGGACCCCAGGGCGGCAGTGAGCGTCACGCCGGTGGTGCAGGCTGCGCGGGCGACTCGGGCAGGCCAGCTCGACGTCGCCTCGTAGCGCCGCACCGCTGCTGCAGTCAACACTGGGGTTGCTCGCGCTGCTGGCCCGGTGGCAGCCGCGCTGCGCAGCTTGCGCGAGCTCGGGCTGGGCGGCGACAAGGAGCGCTGGGTCAGCGTGCCTGCGGCGCCGCACGGGTGGCGCCCGCTGGAGCAGTCGAGGCGATCCACTGAACACGTGTTTCTGGCAGCGCGGAGCCGGGTCAAGTGCCGCAAGCTTACGTCGCGCTTGCCGTGTTTCGCCCACCTGGCCAGCGGGGTGGACAGGTGGGCAAACCCCCGTATGTTCGCTGCCGACGAGCTCGCGCCCGAGGCCGCCGGGGCGTTGCGCGGCACCTTGCGCGGCAGCGTCGTGACGCAGGCCATCGCGGCGAAGTGGACGGGCGACGCGGGCTTGTGCCCACATTGCGGGCTGGCCGCCGAAAACCACGAACATAGTTTTTTGTTGCGCGGTGCCCAGCGTGGGAGGGCCCGCGCCGCGCAACGCTCGCTGCCGCGCAGCGGTCGGAGACGCTGCCAGGGGACATTTGGGCCTTGCGGGGGCTGCTGCTGGTGGGGGTCGCGCAAACGGGGGTCTTGGCGTTGCCGCCGCTCCTCGCTGCCCTCGCAGAGGCCGCTGCGAGCGAAGACCCACAGCTACCGCCCCAAGTGGCGCTGCTACCAGGAGCACCCCGTCGCACGGTGTGGAGCGGCGGGGCATGCATTCACACCATTGGCCCGCTGCTGACGCGAGCGGCCCAGCGCCCGACGTCGCCAGCCCGGTCGACAGGCTGCAGATCGGCGCAAAGGGCCGAGGTGATGACCGCTGTAGCGGCGGCTCGCGCAGTTGTCGGCCCAAGCGATTTCGCTTCGGACAGCCAGTACGTGGTGCGGGCGTGCGCCTAGATTGAGGCTGGCGCCGACACGCGGGACTGGGAGCACGCCGACCTGTGGCATTTGCTGTTGGACGCCGTGCGCAGCGGCGAGCTCCAGGCCCGTGGGGAACCAGTTCACAAGACGCCAGCAGAGGCGCGCCACGGGCTGAACGAGCGGGACCGCCTCGGCGACGCGGCGGCCGACGGCAACCCTGGCGCCGCCGCGGCAAGGAGGGCGCCGCCGCCAGACGTGGTGCGCGCCCGCGACCGGGAACTGGAGCTGCCGGGGGCCGCGCAGCGCAGCAGGCCGCCCTAGCGGCGGCGCTGCTGGCCAGCCGCGCGCCGCTGTCGGCGCCTTCTGGCGCGGGGTGCGCCACGGGGCCGGGGCTCGCGCGGCCTCTGCGCTGCCGGACGCCGCGCCCGCCGGACGCGCGCTTCCACCAGTGCCGCCGCCGCGGCTCAGCGGCGCAGACGAACCCGTGCTCAGGCGCCACGCTCGCTGCCTTATTCGCAGGGCGGTCGTTGTGCCCGCACGCCTTGCCTCAGGGGCCTGGCCATGTCGTCTGCCTCCGCTGCGGCGCCAGTGCCGCGACGCCTGCGGACGCACTGGGTCGTGCATGCCTGGGGCGGAAGGAGGGGCTCTCGGAGCGCGGGCAGGTGCTATTCCTTCTCGGTGAATTACGCTTCGCTGGGGGCAGCGCGGCGGATTTGGCACGTCTCACTGCGCAGCGTCGCGCGCAGTTCCCAAAGGTGCTGGACTGACCTGCACCTGCCCAGGCGCCTGCGACTGCGCGGGGCGCTTGGTGTCCGTTCGTCAAAAAAGCGTGCCCCCCGCCCCGCCCGCGTTGCCCCTGAACGGGGCCCGCCAGCAGGCTTGCCGGCAGACTCGGGCGCCCGTGCGCTTTGCGCCAAGCCAGTGGATGGACGCCCCGATTTCGCACATCTCGCGGGGGTGGGGGGCGGGGAGGGGGTCGTCCCTGAAGGGGGAAGCACACAGACGCAAACAACCGTCGATTCTGATGACAGCGTTGAAAGCGTAGGAAGTGAAGTGGAAGACGAACATCCAAAAATATTACAAAATAGAAGGGATCCTGGGATTTGTGTCTTTTCATTTGTGCGTCCCTGGGCCCCTTCATCATCGGCCCCATCACGCGCCACGCGGGCCGCTCGTCGACGACGCGCGGCAGCGCTTCCGCCTGTCCCTGCTTGCCCTTGCCTTCCCTCGACTCGTTCCCTCGTCCGCCCTCCCGCCCCCAGACGTCATTCCCCCGCGCGTTGGAGCACACGCTGGCGCATGCGCGCATATCGAACGCGAGCGCACGTGCCAAAGTGCACGCTCGCACGCCGCATCTGTTCCGAATGTCTTGCTCCGTGCATTCGATGGGGGCCCCCCTCCTCCCCTGTTTCCCCCGCCCCTCCTGTCCCGTTGCCCCTTGCCCCTTGCCCCCCCCCCTCCCCTTCGCCTTTTTGCACCCTCCCCTTCCCGTTGCCCTGTCTATCCCCCCCCCGTGCTTCTCGCGTTTCTGCACATTCTTTCCTCTCTCACTGCACTCCCTCCCCCACCCTCCTGCCGCCCACCCCCGTCCTGCTCCTTCTCCCATTGCCCTGCTTCTCCCTCCCGTCTCTGATCCCGCCAAGGCGGACGCAAGGGGGGAAAGGGGGCGGCAGGAATTGTGGGGTTGCGATATCTTCTAGTTGCAGCTGGTTTCGGCCCTGCCGCTGGCCGTAATCCCGCGATGCTGCGACGCCTCTCGCGCCAGGAGGTACCAGGATAGAAACAGACATAAAGAATACGCAGCCGATTCGCTAAGCCCCCCCCCTGTGCTACCCCCGTCCCCTTCTTCGTCCTGCTGTCAAAATCCAGAGTAAGGACGCGCTGCTTCATTAAGTCGGATTACTTTTTTTGCATCCCTGCTTCTTAGCTGAAAACAGCGGGTTCGACTGCGCCGACATTCGCGCGTAAGCTGCCCGCGCAAGGTCGCGCGTAAGCGACCTCGTTTCCAAAGCGTGCCGTGCTAGCGCCCCGTGTCAGTCACTGCGGAGGGTCGCTGCGCCATCAAGTGTAAGACCCGTTTTTTTCGCCGCCCAATTGGGATTTCAAGGGTCTTGCATCCTGACGTTCATTTTTACGGTGGATTTTACTGTACCCCTTTTTCGTTTCGTCCTGCCCCGATCCTGCTGGGCCGCCTTTGAGCCCGCTCAGAGGCCTGGCCGCCGTCGCCGCGGAGGGAAAGCGCGGGGTCTGCCTCTGGGACCTGAGGAAGCATGCCCTGGGGTGCCTGCACATCAGGCGGATCGTGCAGGCCCCACAGTCGAGGAACAAAAAACGGCACACGAGGAGGAGGAGGCGGAGGAGGAAGGATGAATGAGGAGGAGGGAGGAGGAGGGAGGAGGAGAGAGGAGGAGGGGGGAGGAGGGAGGAGGAGAGAGGAGGAGGGAGGAGGAGGGAGGAGGAGGGAGGAGGAGGCAGGGAGGGAGGGAGGGAGGAGGGAGGGAGGGAGGAGGAAACTGTCGGAGTTCCGCGCGGATCTCGTGAGTCTCGGCCTGGGCCCCCCGATGGGCGCCCCGGGCGCCGCCCCCGTCGCGCTCCGCCGGCCAGGGAGGGATGTCTGGCGCAGATCCAAGGAACCCGCGCTGACATCAGAGACTGGCCACGCTCAGAAGGGGGTAGGGGGGAGGGGGGAAGGCTTCTTAGGAGCACCCCTGCTTCTCAGAAGGCGCGGGCCTTCTTTGTAGATGCAAGGCCGGCGCCTTCTAAGGAGCAGCCTCCCTCTGAGAAGCCTTCCCCCCCCTCCCCCTACCCCCTTGTGCGCGCCGCCAAGGAACGCTGATGCTTCTGCCTTTCCTGTCCCTCTGCACAGAGCTTCTTCCTCACATCGGGGATTGCCAGATGATGAGTGCGTCTGGGTGGCAGGGGCCCCCTCCCCCTCTCTTCAGATCTCTTCAGAACCCGCCCCCCCCAGAGGAGACGGCGCTCTGGAGAGTGCACTTTGGAGCCCCTGGTGACGCGCAGAACTGATGACGCACCGAGTTGAGATGCCGACTTGACGCACCGATGTGAGTCGACTGACCGAGTTGACTCACCGAGTCGACATATTATACGAGTTTGCGAATTGAGTTGACTCGCCGAGTTGATGTACCAATATGTGAGTTGGCGAGCCGAGTTGACGCACCGAGTTGACGCACCGATGCGAATTGACGCACCGAGTTAAAGTATTGGTACTAGTCGGCGAGCCGATTTCACGCACTGTGTTGACGTACCGAGTTGACGAAACGAATTGGCACACCTAGTTGACGTACCGTTTCGAGTTGGCACGGACGAATTACCAATATTGGCAACATACAGGTCGAGCGTCTTTGCGCGCGCATGCGAGCGTTTGTGTGTTGCACGTGCTTGTCGGGTAGTTGTGTGCTTGCGTGCTTGCGCGGCGTTTCCGCGGCCCTTTCGCCTTTCTCCCCCACGTTTGCCGCGAGACAATCAGCGTCTTCCGTTTCCCGGCCCGATTGAGCGCGCGTGCGCATTGCTTCTGCCGCGCTGCGACGTAAAAGGTGTTTTCACGGCGTGGCACGCGTGCTGGGTTGGTGCATGCAAGGTCTCGGGTCTCGTGTCTGGGTTGTTCCATGCTGCGATTCGGATCCTCGCAAATGCCCCGTCCAGCCTTGGCTACGGTGTCGGGGGGCGCGCCCGTAGTTCTCACCAGCCTGCGCCCTGCTACCGGGGCCGCGGTGCCGGATGCGGCCGCCAACAATAACGGCACTCCCATAGACCGCCGAGTCGGACGGGAGTTATATACGGCTTGGGGTGTGGTACTGGGCGGTACGGCGCCGAAACAGGCTCGGAGTGCCCAAACCACCTGGTTGAGTGGGGCGGGCGGGCGCGGCTCGCTGCCATGTATGTGCGGGGTTCCTATAACCTTCCCCCGTACAACGGGCAGCGTGAGGCCGGCTCCCGCCTGATCACCGGGGACCGGCAGGCGAGAGGTGGTGCCTGGTCGGGGTTTTCGGGATCCTAAGGTGCCCGTTTGGGACGTTGTGCGGTTGCGGCCTTGCGACCTCCCTGGGTTATATCAGGCGATCGCCAACATGGATCAACGGGGCGTGGATCAGCGACGTGTCTCGTTTCCATGGGGAATCGCCGGTTTCCGCCGCCGAACGAGGCGGCAGCGGCCGCATTCTGGGGAGGGCACTTCTCCCAATCCATGGATTTGGCGACCGCGCGCCAAATCCATGGATCGCTAATCCATGTTTGCGCGCCTCCGATTATAGTGCGGCTTGACTCGGAGGTGGAAGGTTCGGGTGGGAGGACGGGCGGGGAGGCGCCGCCAGAGAGGGTGTCGAGAGCTGCTCGGGCTCGTCGCAAACGCAAGGGGTAGAAGACGCAGGCAGTCTCGGGCCGCATTGGCCTCCTGACTGCGCCGGGAGGTGGTCTTGCACCGCCTCCCAGGAAATGTCGGCCTTGTGCCCTGACGACGTGGAGCCCATTCCCACCTCCTCCTTCTCCTCCTCCTCCTCCTCCTCCTCCTCCTCCTCCCCTCCCTTCTCACCCCCTCCCTCCCTCCTCCCCCTCCCTCCTCCCTCCTCCCCCCCCCCGCGCTGGGAGATGTTCGGGCCCCTTCCTGGCGGGCGGGGGCGCTAGCGGGGAGTAGTGCTCGAGGGGCTGGTCTGTATAAGCGGCGGATAGGTGTGGGGCCGATGGTAGGGGATGAGGCAACGTGGTGCCGGGCGACGTCGCTGGCGCCATGCTCTCCGAAGCCTCGCAGAGTAGGGGCTGGGTTGGATCAAATCTTCTGTCTCACATCGTTGCATTCACGAAGTAGCTTGCGGCTAGGCTAGGGGAATGGCCTCTCCTCCTCGTTCTCTCCTCTGCTCGGGAGTGGGGGATGCTAGGGAGGCGTGTGGGGAGGTCCAGGGACATTCTTTGTCGGGGGTTGCAGATGACGGAGTGTGCCTGTGGGGAGAGTGGTGTGTGTATGTGTGTGCACAAGGCGTGGTGCGTCTGGGAAAAAGTGGGCACAGGGCTGTGTGTGCACATGGTGTGGTGTGTGTGTGTGTGCCAGTCGTCGTGCGTGTTCCGTTGTCTTGAGTGTGCCAATCTTCGAAGGTTTATGTCCGATTTCCCGGGTACTGGGTTCTTGTGCTGAATGGGACCTCTCCGCCTCACTCTTCATGGTCTTCTCTTCCTCCCTCACCTCTACCGCTCTGGGGTTAGGCTCGGGGGTCAGGGTCTGGGTGCTGCTGGAGAGGCGAAGGGAGGCTCCCCAGCCGGCATCCCCTTCCACCACGACCACGACCGTCCTGAGTTGACGAATTGAGTTGACACGCCGAGTTGACGTGCCGATCGCCGTTGACTCGGGGGTCTCCAAAGAGTTGCCCCCCCAGACGAGCCCAAGCCAAAGATGGTCCTGGTCCAAGGTGCCCCCAGACTGCCCCGGGAGGTCCAGAGGGCCTCACCCTCACAAGGCCCCCCGCGAGCTCCGAGATGGAGCTGAAACTTTGGGGACGTTTTGGGCAAGGGACATCTTTGGCAACACCTGGCCATCCTTCTCCTGGTTCCCCTCCTGCGGGCAGAACTTGTGCCCATACCCACTGCAGCTTGGAGGTGCGGGCTGACTTCCCCTAAAACCCTGGGGCGCATGGGATGGGGATGGAAAGTTGGCCCCATAGAGGCTCGATCTTTATCCATATCCAGTGCGCCTCGGCCTTGTGGGGCACCTTCAAAGACAATCCGAGACGCACTGGGTGTGGGCACAACTCTTGTCCGCACCTCCGCTTCCTCGCCCTCGAGGAGCGCGCAACTGCACTTCCTCCGCCGCAGTTGCGGATACTGCAACGTGAGGGGGCGCCCAGGCCGGGGCATGCCGTGGTGCTTTCCAAAGTCTTGGCATCGCTCGGACGTGTGCATTTTTTCGTCGGCGAGGACCATGGAGGAGCATCCTTGATCATTTGGCGAAAAAACCACGCGAAAAAATCATCGGCGAGGAGCATCCTTGATCATTTGGGATGGACGTCCGAGCGGTGGCCAGAAGTCCGTGCGAGGCAGCTCTCCGCAGGCGCCAACTCTGCCCTCGAGAGCAGCATCGCTGGGCCGCGCCGCCGAGTGCGCCGAGCTGGTCCGGCGGCGAGCGAGGGGGGAGACGTGAGAAGGAGACGTCGGGGGCGGAAAAGAGGGGGGTGATGGCTAGGGGGGGGTGGATATCATGGCGGGGGCCATGATATTTCCCCAGATTTCATGGCGCCTCATCTTGTTTCATTACGTCCCTGGTCCCCCCGCTGGGCCGCGCACATGCCGCCGGCCAGGATTTGCACCCCCCCCCCCTCTTGGACACCCCCCGCTTGGCCGCTCCCAAAGACGGCCTGCTCAGAAGCTTCGGAGGTCCCCGGGCCTCCCGAGAAGTGTTCGGGGCCTCCCCCGAAGACGCAGCAGACTTCTCGGAGGGCGCGGCCTCCTCCTCCTCGCGTCCCCCCCCTCGCTCGCCGCCGACTGCTTGCGCCTCTGTCGCGGGTGGGCCCCTTGCTTCGGGGCGCAGGCGGGCCGCGGGCGGGTGGGCTGCGGGTGGCTCGTGGCGCCGGGTGGGCGGCGGGTGGGTCGCGGGAGGGCCGCCCGTGGATCACGGCGCGGGCCGGGGGGCGACGACGACGACAATGCCAGAAGACAGCCCCAACCCGCACAGGGGAAGCCCACTTCGGCCACGCATCGGGGGGCACTGCCAGACCGTTCGGCCCCCTCCGCTGTGCGAGGCAGCATGCTTCGGAGGTCTGCGCGGGCCTCTTGGGTCGGCGGCGGACCCCCCCCTCTGGCGGAGCCGCCGACGCCGCCCTCGGCGCGCTTCGCGCGCCAGGGGTTGGGGGTCCAGCGCCGACGGTTCCAACGTTGATTCGTTTTCTGAATCTTGTTTACTCGATCGTATGACACTCGCATCCCCCTCCTGGCTCTCCTCCGCGCCCTCTTCCGCCTCGTCGCCGTGCGCCAACATGCTGCTCCTCGTCCGCCCTCTTGCGTTCTGATTCCCGCGCCTCCCTGGGCTCCTCCTGCGAGTCGAGGTTTCACCGTAGGCGCGACGGTGGAACGATTACCCCTGCCATCATGAAGGTAGGGCAGGATTGAGGTGAGTTGGGTGTCGGTCCCCCCTTAGGCCTGTTTCCCTCTCCTCTCAAGCCAACGCTGGGAGTGGGGGCTGCGACTATGTGGCGGGGATCGTGCAGGGGTGGGCCATGAGGAGGAGGAAGATTTGAGATGAAGACAAACTAGAGGCCGAGGAGAATGAGGAGAATGAGGAGGAGGAGGAGGAGGAGGAGGAGGAGGAGCAGCGAAGGGTCGTGAGAAGGACTGAGGGCCGGGACGTTTGTGCGGCGCGAACCGCGCGTCCTGCGAGACCGCTGGGCGAGGGACCTTGGTGACCCCCCTCCCCCCGGTGCGCCCTTCCGGCCCTGTGCGCGTCGGGGCGGCAAGGCGCCAGGGGTGGGGCGTGCGCTCGTGGGCAGACGGGAAGCGAGACGTCGGGGGCGCCGGGGTCCATCGCTGACGGGGTGGAGCCGAGCTCCTCCGATGCCTCCTGGCCGATCCAGGTCTGGAGAGGAAGACTTTTCCCGGGTAAAATCGGATATATTCCCTGGGTGAATCGGACATTCCCCGGCATCGAGGCTTTGAAAGCTCTGATTGTCTCTGAGGAGCTTCTGAGAGGCTTCTGAGAGGCTTCTGAGAGGCTTTTGATAAGCTTCTGCGAAGCTTCTGAGAAGCTTCTGAGAGGCTTCTGAGAAGCTTCTGAGAGGCTTCTGAGAAGCTTCTGAGAAGCTTCTGGCCACTAACTACTTACTACTTTCTGCTTACTGCTTACTACTTACTACTTACTACTTACTACTTACTACTACTACTACTACTACTACTACTACTACTACTACTACTACTACTACTACTACTACTACTACTACTACTACTACTGCTACTGCTACTGCTACTACTACTACTACTACTACTACTACTACTACTACTACTACTACTACTACTACTCCTATCCTTATTCCTTATTAGAATATACTCCTACTCCCCCCTCAGGCCGGCCATAGGGGCCGCATCCGGGTGGTCCCATCCTAACCTGTAAAAAACAATACAAAATCAACATTTTTCTTATTTTTTCCTCTCGACATGGACGTCCTGTCGTCCACGGCGATAATCCATTGCAAAAAATACCACAAAGAGCACACGCGCGCGTTCATGTCAGAATCCTACCGAACACCGTGTGTTTGCAAGCATTTCAACATAAAAACATCAAAAACCCAATGCTTTTTCACAAAAATTGTACAAATTTCCCGCCCGGGCTCTCTTGCTGAAATCATAGGAAAACCATAGGAATCTTAAGAATTCTGTCAAATCCAGCGATTTCACGTCATCGCGCGGTGCACTCGCGATGCTCTGTCATGCACCCAGGCCGCGAATCCTGTGCAAAAAATATTACAAAGAGCACACTCGCGCGTTCATGTCAGAATCCTACCGAATACCGTGTTTTTGCAAGCATTTCAACATAAAAACATCAAAAACCCAATGCTTTTTCACAAAAATGCTTTGGGGTGTCCTGTCAGACCGTCGGGCTTCCTCCGGCCACCTCTGGCTTCCTGCGGTGTACCGGGCCATTCTCGACTCGTCTGGCAATGCGTGCGCGGCATTCAACACGCGCTCGCCAGTTCCCGTCGGCAACCGCCATCGCGGCCGCATCAGCTGTACCAAACCGGCTGGCCGGTGTGACTTCGGCCCCCAGTTGTGCCAGCTTTGCTTCTTATGTTGTGGGAGGGCGGGTGGGACTGGGCATGCCATGCTTGACTCGCTCGAGCTGGCTAGCTTGACTCCTACTACTACTACTACTACTACTACTACTACTACTACTACTACTACTACTACTACTACTACTACTACTACTACTACTACTACTACTACTACTACGACTACTACTACTACTACTACTACTACTACTACTACTACTACTACTACTACTACTACTACTACTACTACTACTACTACTACTACTACTACTACTACGACTACGATTACGACTACGACTACGACTACGACTACGACTACTGCTACTACGACTACCACCACCACCACCACCACCACTAACACTACCACTACCACTACCACTACCATCTCCACTACCATTACCAGTACCAGTACCAGTACTACAACGCGCGAGCACACCGAGATCAGATATTCCCAAACATGTTTTTTCGGAAACCAGTTGGCTTTCGAAGACTTTGCGGCCCGACCCCGCTCGACACATTCGCAAAGGAAGCGCCGCAGGAATCGGACATTCCCTGGTGCCACCGGGGAATGTCCGTTTTTCCTGGGGAATGTCCGATTTTCCCGGGCTAAGTCCTGATCGCGTGCCGGGGCCGAGCCCCCGCCTCCGCCCAGCGCTGCGCGGGGCCAGCCCGGGCTCGGGACACGGCCGCGCAGGCCGACCCCGGGGCAGTATCTGGCGCGCCGGCCCCGGGCCAGTGCGCCTGGGAGGGAAGCGGGCGAGGACGCGCAGGAGGAGGAGACGGCGGTGGTTCGGACCCCCGCTGGGAAAACGAGGGGCCCCCCTGCAGCCTGAGAGGGCGGCCCCTGGCGCCGGGCGCTGCTGCGGAAGCCTTGCTGCTCCAGCAGGTCTCCGTGCTCGCACGTCCTGCTGCGAGAGGTCGGGGTCCCGAGGCCGCTCGGGCGGGTGTGGCTGGATCCTCTGCGGTCTGCCTCGGGCCGGCGCAGGTCCTCGCGAGCTTCGGCAGCATCCAGGCGGTGGCGCTGTCGCGCCTGTCCGACCAGGTGTCGGACGACGACCAGGCTCGCCCGCGGCGTTGTCCAGCGGCCTCCGCCGACGCGATGATGTCAATGCAGCGCCGGCTGGTCTGTCCCTGAGTCAAGGGCAGAAAAAGACGCCCCTACCCTGGTTTACGAGGCGCTGTGCGGTGAAACTCCTGTGGGCTGACGGGGCAAGCCCTGCGTGATGTGCCGCGTCCTGGCGGCTCTAGGCGTCGAGGGTTCCCAGGAGGTCTACAGACCACGCACCTGTAACCCAGACCCCCGACGTCATGATTTTTTCATGACGCGACCGCCAGAGGTCCGGACCTATTCGCCGGGACCGGTTTTTCATCCTGAGTCGTTTTTTGACGGTCCCGAGGGCCTGTAAGGGCCCCCAGAGGCGGAAAATATGGAAAGACCTCCCGTCGTGATTTTTTCATGACTCGAGGGGGTCTGGGAACCCAGGGTAGGGTCGTTTCTTCATCCCTCGACTGAGACCAGGCGCCGCGAGCAGAACCATGCGTCGCTGGGAAGTCGCGAACGGAGCCCTGGAACACCGTCGCTCTGCGGCACCTCTCGAACCTGGTCGACCCGTCGGGGCCCCACGGGGCCCGGCGCCAGGCGAGAGCGCCCAGCGCGGAAAACCTGCAACGCCGGGAGTGGAATCAGGGCTGGAAGGAGAAGGGATAACCCCACGAACATCCAGGTTCTCTCGTGGCCCCCCGCGGCCAGAGGAGAGTGACCCCGTGCGCGTGGCCGAGGGCCGCTGGAGATGCCAGCACTCTCAGGACGGCGCATCTTGCTGAGAGGCTGGTGCACCGTGGCGCAGCTCCTGCACCGCCGAAGGGGGGTCCGGAGCTTCGGCCTCCGGGGGCCCGAGGTCGGGCCTCGAGGCCCGGCGGGGAAGCCACTGCTCCCGAGGGCCTCTGGACGGCCAGGATGAGGAAAAAGCGTGCCTCGTGGCAGAGGGCGGCAGGCCCGGGGGCCGCGTTTTGGCCCACTCTGCACGCGTGGAAACCATCGACAACACCGTGGAATGCACGAGCGCTCGTCAGGGGCTGCTGCAGCCCCGGGGTGCACCAAAAGCTTGTGAGGGGTGCGCCGAGATGGACGCGAGGCGACGTGCGGACGAGACGTGTGCGTCGTGCCGCGAAAAGGTGATGAGGGTGAGAAGGGAGATTACGACGATGATGATGATGATGATGATGATGATGATGATGATGATGATGCTGATGGTGGTGATGATGATGCAGATTATGATGATGTTCATGATGCTGATAGTGATTATGCTGAAGCTGTCGATGGTGATTGGGATGGTGATGATGACGAGTACGACGATGATGCTGATTATGCTGATGATGATGATGGTGATGGCGATGGTGATGGTGATGGTAATGGCGGCGATGATGATGATGATGACGATGAAGATTAATAGATTAATGATGATGATAACGTTAATGGTGATGATTATTTTGATGACGATTAACTATAATGATCATGATAATCATGATGATGTTGATGGTGACGGAAACGACGATGATGATGACGATGCTGATGATGATAACGATGATTATGTTGATGATGAACGTGGTGGTGGTGTTGATAAAGATGACGACGATGCCGACCATGGTGATGGTGATAATGACGATAAGACTGGTGCTGACGACAAGGACGAGGAGGAAGAGGAGCAGGAGACGGAAGGAAGAGTTGGAGGAGGAGAAGGAGGAGACGCGCGGCGCTGCGAATTCAAAGAGAAGGCCCAACATACAGGAGAGTTTGGCAACAAAGAACGACGCCGGAGGTCAGGGCACGCGCCGCTGCCCTCGCCAAGTATTCCTCGAAGATCGTTCGGCCAGGTTCGGGCGTCTCGTCGTGGACTGGGCGCACGTCCACATATCCACGGCCTCGGTGTCCGGACTCCCCGGCCGCGACGCCCTGGATGCAGGGTGGTGTTGCGCGCATGCCCCGCGCGGGACGCACCCGTGGGATGGCGCCTCGGAGTCCAGATCGCGAGTTGCCAAGAAGAGGCCTTCAAGGTGATGCTATACTTCTGGGCTGCGCCTCTGCTCCAGAGCACGTCATGGCACAAGCGTGTGTGCACGTCTGTCAGCGCTGTCTGGAGCATTGCTCTGGAGGCGCCCGGCTCAGCTAGGTGCCTCGATCTGTTTCACCCTCCTCCTGTGCTCCATGATCGGCTGTCCGACCTTGCCTTGTTCATGCCCTCCCATATATTCTATTATATTCTGGCAGTGCCCAGTGGACCAGTTGGCCTCTGCCCGCCATCCATCTTCTCTTCCCCTGCTTTGGGGACTGCGCGAAAAGCACGCTGCAGGTGAAATATATACCCCCAATGGGGGCTCGATCAAAAACGAAGGGGGTGGGTATCGAGGGTTTGGGATACACGTGTTGAATGGCACGCAAGCACATACTCGA